CTCCTAAATGATTTTTTCAAATTTGCATACATTAAGATTCACTCTTGTGTTGTAAAGCTCTAACAGGCTTTCACAAATGCATAACAGCGTGTATAAATCATTACGGTATCATATAGAATAGTCTCACCACACTAAAAATCTCCTGTGCTCCCCCTACATGTCTTTTTCCCACTGCCCCTCAAGGCCCTGGCAACCACTGACTTAGACTGGCTTCTTTCACTTAGCAATGTACATTAAAGTTTCTTCAATGTCTTTTCATGGCTTGACAGCTCATTTCTTTTTATTGCCAAATAATATTCCATTGTATGGATGTACCACAGTTTATTTATCCATCCACTTAAAAAATACCTTGGCTGCTTCTACTTTGGGGTGATTATAATTCAGGCTGCTATAAGCATTTGTGTGCAGGTTTTCATGTGGACATAAGTTTTTGGCTCAGTTGAGTAAATACCTCCTCAGCTGAGTTGAAGGGTGTGATTACTGAATCGTGTGGTGAGACTATTTTTAGCTTTGTAACAAACTGTTAAACTGTCTTCCAAAGTGGCATTTTGCATTCCTGCCAGGAGGAATGAGAGTCCCTGTTGCTCTACACCCTCACAGCATTTGTGTTGGTCGAGTTTTTTGAATTCTAACAATTCTAAAAGGTATGGGGTGATCTCTCATTGTTGTTTTAATTTGCAATTCTTTAAAGATAAATGACACTGAGCATCTTTCACCCGCTTCTTTGCCATCTGTATGTCTTCTTTGGTAGTGTCTGGGAATGTGTATTTTTTAACAAGCCTTCTAAGTGATTCTGATGAACACCAAAGTTTGAGGGCCATCACTCCATACCCATCATTTGCCCCTGTCATCTCTACGTCTCTGCTCGTCCCTCATTACAGTCATCCTAGATAACAGAGACGTTTTCCCTCTACCTGATTTCAGAGCTAAACATTTTTTTGTCTTTGAAAATTCACCACTTGCCTATTCATTAACAGTCTATTTAAATAGAAAAGTGATCAACGCCTGAAGGCCTGAGATAGAAGTACACATGAGGATGCCTATACCTGGGGACGGGCTCTTTGCTTATACTGTAGCTTAGAGACACCCTAGTTTCTATACTTTGATGAATCTGTACCCAGAAAAGTATGATTCCATGGGCCATGGTCACCTGGCCACCAGTCCAGGACCTCCCTATATGGATATTTCTGGTGCCATAGCTTATAGTTCACAATTTAGGACACATGCTTTTTCTGCGGAAATATAGCTCTTTAATAAAATAGAGCTTGTATGTCTATTTGTGAACAGCATGACACGCAATTTAGAATAAGGCTTAAAACTTAAGTAAAAACAAATAGCTTCCCACACTCTAAACATCAATTTTTAAACAATGGCCACTGAATCTAACACTGTTTCTATTTTTTATTTTAAGAAGAACTTTCTCCTTTCTCTTATGCTCTGATGTCTAAAGTCAAGGCCTGTGTGACTCAGACTTTCTGGGGACTCATTTCACACACTGTTCTCAGGAGCTTCAGAGGGTATTATGGTCTTCATAGAGGAGGGGCTTTCACCTCTTTACATTTTCTTTTTTTTTAGGATTTTATTTATTTATTTGAGAGAGAGAGAGAAAAGGAGAAGAGAGCAAGAGCAGGGGGAGGGGGAGGGGCAGAGGGAGAAGCAGAAACAGACTCCCCGCTGAGCAGGGAGCCCAACAAGTTGGGAGGCAGGCTCAATCCCAGGACCCTGGGATCATGACCTGAGCCGAAGGCAGACATTTAACCAACTGAGCCGCCCAGGTGCCCCCCTCCTTATCTTTTCTAATCAGCAGTAGGCTGTACTTATATCCACCCAGATCCTCCCAAAAGGGATTAGTAGTTTGCCTCACCTGTTCTCTTTACCCTCCTTAAAAGGTGAGACCACAACAAAATAATAATCATCATCTTGTTACCCTTATGGATGCCTAAACATTGGCAGATATCACCAACCACCTTCTCTTTGCAGCCCCAGAAGGGGTGGGTCTGCATTCTTGAAGATCAAGTTCCTATTCTCAGTTATCAGCCCCCATGTCCTGGAGCTCTGGGCAGCTATGAATGTTTTTGTATCTAATTCCTTAAAATCATCTGGTAATTAGCCCTACCACCTCCTCCTAACCACCTCTTTTGACCTCTTATTCCTTAAAACCTTTTTTTTAGTCTCTCCAAAAAAATGTTTTTTTTTAATCTCTCCAAAAATTTTAACATGTTAGAGTAGAGCCATTCTTAAAGGGTTAGGATGTGGTTTCTTCACAAGGACTAGTCGTGGAAAAAAGGTCATATCTACTGCCTTTCCCTAAGGAACACAATCCACCTTCTTTCTGTATTAATTGTCATCTGCCTTGGTTTATGTGGAAATCCACTTGAATGGGGACTATATTTATCTATATGCTCTGTTTTATGTATTCAGTCTGGGCTCACTGTTAGACAGGTATACCTGTCAAATTATGGCAATTGGTTATTCTTGGCTGCAATGCTGACTTCAGCCGTGACCTTCCTCAAGTCACATAGATTTTCCTGTTTTTCAAGTTTCTCCTCCTGTGAAAATACTGACCTACTTAAATAGAAACACTCTGAGGTTTAACCAATAGATTGTTCTGAAAATGTCAGGATCTATAAATGTTGTTATTAATGTGTTAAGCTATAAATATATATATATCAAAGGAAGTTCTTGATTTTAATTTAAAAAAACTGTCAGCTTGAATAGTTTAGTGTTGTTACCTATACTTCCCAAGAATAATGCTAGATTTAAAAAAAAATCTATAACGTTTTTTTCCCCAAGACAATGGCCAATATATGCCAAGGATTTTTTTAGTTGTCTTTCTTTCTTTATCTTTCTTTCTTCTTTCTTCCTTTCCTTTTTTTTATTGACATATAATGTATTATTTGTTTCAGGGGTACAGGTCTGTGATTCATCAGTCTTACACAATTCACAGTGCTCACCATAGCACATACCCTCCCCAATGTCCATCCCCCAGCCACCCCATCCCTCCAACCCCCCTCCACTCCAGCAATCCTGTTTGTTTCCTGAGATTAAGAGTCTCTTAGGGCTTGTCTCCCTCTTGGGTTTCGTCTTGTTTCATTTTTCCCTCCCTTCCCCTATGATCTTGTGTCTTATTTCTCAAATTCCTCATATCAGTAGATCATACTTGTCTTTCTCTGATTAACTTATTTCACTTAGCATAATACCCTCTAGTTCCATCCACGTCGTTGCAAATGGCAAGATTTCATTCTTTTTGATGGCTGCATAATATTCCATTGTGTATATATACCACATCTTCTTTATCCATTCATCTGTTGATGGACATCTAGGCTCTTTCCATAGTTTGGCTATTGTGGACACTGCTGCTGTAAACATTGGGGTACACATGCCCCTTCAGATCACTACATTTGTATCTTTGGGGTAAATACCCAGTAGTGCAATTGCTGGGTCATAGGGTAGCTCTATTTTCAACTTTTTGAGGAACCTCCATACTGTTTTCCAGAGTGGCTGCACCAGCTTGCATTCCCACCAACAGCGTAGGAGGGTTCCCCTTTCTCTGCATCCTTGCCAACATCTCTCATTTCCTGACTAATTTTAGCCATTCTGACCAGTGTGAGGTGGTATCTCATTGAGGTTTTGATTTGTATTTCCCTGATGCGGAATGATGTTGAGCACTTTTTCATGTGTCTGTTGGCCATTTGGATGTCTTCTTTGAAGAAATGTCTGTTCATGTCTTCTGCCCATTTCTTGATTAGATTATTTGTTCTTTGGGTATTGAGTTTGATAAGTTCTTTATAGATTTTGGATACTAGCCCTTTATCTGATATGTCATTTGCAAATATCTTCTCCTGATAAGTTCTTTATAGATTTTGGATACTAGCCCTTTATCTGATATGTCATTTGCAAATATCTTCTCCCATTCTGTCGGTTGTCTTTTGGTTTTGTTGACTGTTTCCTTTGCTGTGCAAAAGCTTTTTATCTTGATGAAGTCCCAATAGTTCATTTTTGCCCTTGCTTCCCTTGCCTTTGGCGATATGTTTAGGAAGAAGTTGCTGTGGCTGAGGTCGAAGAGATTGCTGCCTGTGTTCTCTTCAAGGATTTTGATGGATTCTTATCTCACATTTAGGTCTTTCATCCGTTTTGAGTCTATTTTTGTGTGTGGTGTAAGGAAATGGTCCAGTTTCATTCTTCTGCATGTGGCTGTCCAATTTTCCCAACACCATTTGTTGAAGAGTCTATCTTTCTGTTTTTCTTATTTCTTTCTTTTTTTAGAGAGAGGAAAGAGGGAGACGCAGAGGGAGAGGAAGAAAGAGGAAATCTCAAGCAGGCTCCACCCCCAGCATGAGGAGCCAGACATGGGACTCGATCTCACAACCCTGAGATCATGACCTGAGCTGAAATCAAGAGTCAGATGTTTAACTGACTGAGCCACCCAGGCACCTCTGTTTTTCATTTTTTAGTGATCTTTAATGTTCATGTCGAATAGTTTCCTAGAATCTAAGACTAGGAAGAGATAATAATGATCATGAGCCTCCTACCCAAAGTAGGGCTATAATATTATTAAACCATTTAAAGATCTGGTCATCCAACCTCTTGAAAAACTCTAAACAATTGTCTTATTTCATATGGTGACCTCTCAAGTGTGGTGGACGCTAAGTGTTAGAAATGAATTCTTCTTCCTTTGAATTCCTACTCTCTGGTCTGCCTTCTGGAGCTAAATGAAGTAAACCTCATCACTCTTCTACAGGACAGACAGCCTTTCAATGGGACTGTTGTCAGAACCACTCAAAAGCTTTTCTTCTCCCAGTTCCCAGCTCTTTCTTTCATTCCTAATGTGACATGGTGTCCTGAATCCAGCCTCCTTTCTCTTTACTCTCTCAATACAGGCCCAATTTCTCATGCTACTTTTCAAATGTAGCACCAAGGACTGATGACAGAACTCTACAAGTAACCTCCTCCCGGTGGGACATAAAGCTAGGGCCACCCCGTTTCCTGTCCTTTCCCAGCACCAGCGTCCAGCTGCAGGCAGTGACAAGCTTCTCTGCACCTGGGCCCTGCTTCATGTCCACCTGCTGGCCGCCGGCTTCAGCTACAGACCATCAGCACTCCCCACATGCGGAGGCCCCACTATACATCCTGTACACTGGGTGCCAAATGCAGGTGCCACTCAGCACTCACCCCCACCACCAGGTTCTAGAGGCCCGTGTCAGCTTTAGCAACGAAACCCTTTTATGCCCAAGGACTCCTTTCTTATCAGTGATCCGCCTTTACAAAACAGTGCTTCTGTGTTCTGCAGATGATGCTATCAGACACTCGGACAGAATTGGACTGGCATAGGACTTGGCATGGTGCATTTTCAAAGCCTCCCGGGCGTTCTAATGTGCAGCCAGGGTTAAAAACCACTGAGGAAATCTGGATCCTTCCTAAGCCTAATCCTTCCCATGTGAAGATGTTTTACCTCCCTCCTCCCACTGCCACTGAGTCAGTAGGTGGTTCCCCCAGTTATGCTCCGCTGATACCCCTGGTCGTGATCATAGGCACTTAATATTGAGCCTTAAGTGGACAACCCCTTGTTCCTCTGAGACCCATGCAGTCCAAGAGTGACAAGCTCTTCTCTTCTTCTCCCCTGCAGTTTTCCCATCTCTAGTCCACTCCTGCATGTTCATCACAAACTTCAGGTTGTCAACTTTCTCACCGTCTTGCCATGGTCTGCTTGAGGATCAATAGACTGTGTTTCCACATACGGGCCTACATTTCCTTGACCTCAACTCCAGTGACTTCATCTTGTACCCCTCAGTCACCCACTCCCAAGTCCCCACACAGACCTTGGCATCACTCAAAAAAACTCCCTCAGAGATTTTAAACTCCACTGTCCTATTCTGACTATTCCCTGTTCAGTTCCCATACTCTTTCTCACTTCTATGCCAACTTTCTCTTTTCTTGCACAGACAAGCTTTTAAAAAAGCACAGTTTTCACTCACCAACACCCATTTCCCTACCTCCCAGCTACTCCCAACCCACCTCACCCTGGCTTCTCAGCCCAAGGTGTCACAGAAAGTGCTCTTCCTAGGAACACTTCTAGGTTTTCATTCACTTCAATACTTCACAACGAATGGTGCTTCTCTTAAAACCATTTCTTCCCTCAGTTTCTAGAACCACACTCTCCTGGTTCACCTGTTACTTCAACTGACCACTGTCTTAAGTCTCCTTTCAGGCTCCCCTTCTCCTGCCAGACTTTTAAACATTGCCGGTCCCTACCATCTCCTAATAATCTTTAAACTCATTTAAGCATGCCCACTGCCTCAATGACTGCTCTTAATACAGGTGACTCCCAAAACTAAATCCCCAGCCTAAACCCCTTACCTGATGTATGAATTGAATTTCAGTTTTCTACATATCCCCAAAAGAACATCCCACAGTCTCCTCAAATTCTGTATATTCAAAGTAGAATTCATTATCTTCTCCCTGCTGTCATAGGATTCTAAGGCCAAAAGGAACTGCAGAGGCTGTCTGGTTCAACCTCTAACCCCACAGCTTCGAGAATCTCTACAAATACAAGCATTACTGCACAAGAGCTGCCTTGCGGTTCATTCAACTCAATACCATCCTGGGAAGAGCCCTTCTGGAAAGTACTCCCCAAATTGGTCCCCTCCCAGATTCCCTGTCTTAGAATATGACACCAAATTCGCCCAGTTGCAAAAGGCAAAAAAAAATATGAGGTCCTCCTAGTTGTACCCTTCTCTCTTAATTCCACATTCAGGCAATCACCAAGTCCTATTAATTCCACCTCTCAAAGTTCTCTTAATATTCACCCTCTTCAGTTGTTTCATTTAAAAATATTTCTTGAACATCTATTATGTTCCAGGCACTATTCTAACTCTGGGAACACGGTGGTACATAAGGAGGTCCGTCTTGCCCTGACCATCTTCATACTCAGGATCGGTCAGAGTTCAGTCAGAAAAGAGAACCACTCAGAGTGAGGAGACCTATTCTAGGGATTTGACTGAGTGCAATTTTGGGGAGCTGGTTAAGGAGTTTATGTACAGCTGTTGCTTCTTCATTTGGTGCTGGCCCGAAGTCAGCAGGGCAGGCGGCTGGTAAAGAAAGGTGGACAGGAAGTGGGGGAGAGCAAGGACAAACTGGAACCCACAAGGGTAGGCTGGAGCCCAAGAGGACAAGCTGAAACTCTCCTCATCTCCCAGCACCTCTAAGCTTTCATCCTTTAGCCAGAATCTAAACCACGGCTGGCCCAGAGGCGGAGAAGCTGAAAGAGGAGATCAATGATAGTTGGACTAGATGCAGGCCCAGCTGCTGCCTGGAGCCAAGAATGTGAACCAGCAGATTCCCACCCATGCATGAGCTGCAACAGCGCCCAACCCTATGTCCACTTTTCATTTAAACATTGCTGCTGCTCGCCTCTTCCCCTTCCAAATCCCGTGAAATTTCTCTTGAGGCCAGTCCTAACCAACAGGGAAGGGAAGTTTAATTCCGGTTTAGCTCGTCTGACCCAGTACAAAGCCACTGCATCATCCTCAAGTGGCTCTACCCAACCCTCATGTGTCCTACTCTAATCCATCCTTCACAGTGTCCTCAGGAGATGGTTGTCTTACGCGACTCTGGCGATGATGCTGTTCCCAATTGCCGCAATTCCCCATCAAATTTCCCACTACCTCTCCATCAGCAGCAGCACAAAATCTAAACTCCTTTGTTAGGATTAGGTATGTTTGCAAGAGACGGAAAACTCAAAGTACTAGTTGTTTAAACAAAATAGAAATGTATTTCTCTCTTTCAGGTAGAAATCTGCGTAGGTGGTCTGGAGCTGTAAAGTTACCCATGGCATCAATGACCCAGGCTTTCTATCTTTGTCCGTATGGTTGACATTACTTGCTTTCCAGAATCTAGACGGAGAAAGGGACAAAGACAAAACAAACAAAAAGGATGCTCTCATGCTCACTGTCTTTAAGGGCCTAAGGGCGGACTCCCTGGGCCTGCCTTGCGATCTTCTATTTATGGAACTTAGCCACCAGGCCACACCTAGCTTCAAGGAAGTTTGGAAAACGTAGTCTTCAGTCTGAGCTGCTATGCGCCCAGCTAGCGTGTCTATGGCTAATTGAAGAAGGGAGAAAACAAATATTGGAGGAAAATTAATAGTCTCTCCCACATGTGACATATGAGACCCCTCATCACCTGCCCCTCACTACTCCTCTAACCTCATTTCCTGCCCATCCACTTTCATATTTTAATAACAAAACTAGAATACTCGATGTTTCACCCAACACTTCACGAACTATCACAATTTCATGACTTTGCACATGCTGTTCCTTTGCCTGGACTTTCCTCATTCCCTCATCTGCTGGGCAAACACCTATCTATCCTCCAAGAAAAGCTCATTGGCTCTTTGTCTGAGGTGTTCCATTTCCTTTCACACCTCCTGCCCTTTGAACAAATATCCGTTAAATAATTATAGCATCATGTGATAACTACTTGCTGCCATGTTTGCCTTCCTTATGTCTGAGTTCCTTAAGGGTGGGGACTGTCTTTTCAGCCTTGAATCTCAACATTTGGCCAGGCGTCCAGTGCATAATGCATAGGAAATGTCTGCAGATCGAAGAATTGCAGAGTACAAAGGGATTGGCATTTTATTCTGTCCATATGCTGCATTTCTATTAATGCATTCTAAAGTTGCTGGGGTAGCAGCCAGCCACAGGCTTCTATGGTGGTGGAATTGCTACATCGTCTCTACTCTTTACTAAGGAGAGATCAAGGCAGAGGCTTCCTGACAGAAAATGAGCTTGCCTGAGGAGAAAAGTAATTGTTTCTTTATCTCTTAAACACAGTACTGAGGGCAAGCACAGATGATTCTCTAACTTTCCCTGTGCCTTCAGAGAAAAAGACAAAAACGTCACAAGTCTAGAGCCAACATGCTACAGGGTGCATAAGAAGGTTAGAAGAAGGTCCCAGGGGACAAACTGATAGCCAAAATGCCAAACATCACACATTATTAGGACATAGTATTCTTCTTAATGCTACAATCTGATGGGGGAGGTAGCCAGCTCCATCCCCACCAGGAAATACTTCCTGACCTCTCTAGGCATCTCCCCAAGAACAGGAAAGCCTTTGAGATGCAACTTTGTCCCCACCCTCACCCCACCATATTTGCTGTTCTTTTGGAAGGATATAAAGGCTCTTCTTTTGACACACAAATACTCAGAGCATTAGGGAAAACCCTTCCTGGCAATTATTAGTATTACAGCTGTCATTATGTTTTGCTGAAAAGCAAATGTTAAAGATATATTCAATAAAAGATATTTTGAGAGAGAGCAGTTAACTGTACTATCTAGTTTGTTATTCAGGGACTTGGAAGTAGCTGTTGTATGTGAACAATTCTAAGCTTTGATTGCATTCTCTTATGGACCATTTAAAAGAAAAGCCCTAAGAGAATGTCTTCCAAATTATTTCCTATGACTACCGACAGCCCTTTGCAAAGTCCCATATGCTTCTGGTGTTGGAGTACACTGGAGTGCCCTTTTACTCAGCAAATTCCACTTCTAGGAAATTATCCCAAGGAAATAATCAGTGGTGTACCCAAAGATGTTTGTAAAAGGATATTTATTTCATCACTATTCAAGATAGTGAAAAAACTGGAAATATATGTCTCAAATTGTTATAGCAAGATGTTCATGAAGTTAAGTAAAAACATGAAGGTCATAAAAGAGAATATTTGGTGTGATCCAAATTTTGTTTTTAAATCAAATTATTATGTCATATATTACAAGATACTTGGGCTGGACATGTTTTGGCCCAGACTCAGGACCATGGCAGATTTGCATAATGCCCCTCCTATTATATCCATTTGTGCTAAAGCTTAACAATTACTGAGAGTCTGACCACAATCTTTATGTACCCATAAATTAATAGAGGGAGTAAAGACTTCTGGAAGACCCCAAATCCTTCCCTTTGAGATTCAAAGTTTTTGTAAATTGATGGGTTAGAATTGAGAGGGTCTGAGTTTGAACTTTAAGGAAGAATAGTGAGAATCCTAAAAAGAACTTACCATATAGGTGGGAGGAATCAAGAGCAGTGGGCTGGTCTTGGCACCAAGGGCTAAGGATTAGGATAGTAGTATCTGTCTCAGAACTCCCCCCAACTCAGCTACCCTGGAGGTGGACTTGTATTAGAAGAGTTTTAACCCTTGGGGCCCAGGCATATTTCTGTGGGACACAAAAGGTAAGGCAGAGAGAGGACAAGTTGTCCCTCATCCAGGGAGATACCACTGCAGTCATCTGTCCTACTGGTGGGCAATGAGGACAGCACGAATGGGAGTCCAGTTAGCCAGACCCATACAGGTCCGCCAGGGTCTCCACAAAACTGGCAGTGACCACCCAGCCTGTCTCAGTGGTAAGGTTAAGAGCTACAGAAACAAGACGCCTTGGGGCATAAACAACCTTGCTTATAGCCTCCCCTCCACCACCACCTGATTCTCATTTAATTGAGCCTATCATAGAAACTTTCCCTATGACAGTGCAATTTGGATCTCTCTATTAGTAGGGAACACCAACATTTTGGTCCTGCCAACATCAGAGCAAGCTATTCTCAGTTGGTGGTGGACTCTCTGGAGAACCAGCCCCATGGCCAACAGTGGCCTCAAGGTGGCATCCAAGTTCCTATACTACCTGTAAGTAGGAGAAGGATCAGGACAATTTTTAGGAACAAATTAGCTCCCACAGTAATTCCAGAAATACCAGGCAAGAAAAAGCCTGGGAAAAGCTGGGCTTTTGCTAATTTGGCCAATGGGATCTGGGAGTCATTATCACTTGAGGTATCAATGTAAGGATGACTGTAGGGAAAGGGGACAGGGCACTGTCCTGAATGATAATGGACCTTTGCCCAGTATATACTTACCCCACAGACTAATTATCTAAAACAAGAATTATGTGATGTTGGGAAAAATTGTATGTACTTTTAAGTGTTCAGGAAAAAGTATGGACTCTCAGAGGTGACTGGTAGACCCCAGTGAAAATGAAATTTAAGGAATATTACTGACTTTCAAAGGTTTACTTATAAGAGGTTCAAGGAAAAACAAGGATGAAAGTTAGCCCTATTAGAAAAATAGAGGGGATTTGGTACTCTAGAGGGCTCAATTGCAACAAATGACCATAATTTTGAAATCATCCTGATGACCACCTAAGCCCTTCCTGTTGCAAGCATTGTATGGATTGGGACCACGGCCAAGTCCAAACACCTACTTCAGGTGTGTGAAGTGGAATCTCCTGAAGAAGGGGTGGGGATTAAGGGGCTATGGTTACATGCCTGGATTGGGGATGGGATGGTTCACAAACAAAGTACAACCCCAGCCCACCTGAAGTACTTGCTCAGTACTATAGGTGAGAGGCTAGGGAGCTTCTGGATATTCTCATCCTTGTCTTAAGTGCAAATTCTGCCAAAAGACAGAAACCACTTCTTTTCCTGAAGCTTTCACAACTGAGACACCTTGTTTAAATCTTGAAAACTTTTGATTTAAAGACTCTTCAATCCCCAGACTGTGGAAGAAAAGACAGGAGGAAGATACAAATAAGGAGTAAGGTTATGTCCTTTCTGAGTGTAATAGAATCTGCATTCAGAGTAACAGCATAAAATAGAGATATAAGAAACTTGACCCTGAAAATAACACCATAAAAAGAGTGCTCTGCCTTAAGTTAACATCTGGTTAGAGCCAGCAATTAATGACATCATCTCAAGGGTGATCATACTTTATTATCTAAATAAGAATAACTTGAGCATGAAAGGGGACCCTATTAATGTTTACGCCCAAATAATAGGCATAAAACCAGGGCTGTCTTAGACCAACCAGAATGTATGGTCATCTAATTGTTTCTAAGTCCTATCGTCCTTATGTTTCTATTGGGTTATTACAGAAAATCAAGGCAAAACTTGAGATAAATATGAACTACTGCATTCTGAATGCACCAAAATAGATCTGTGTACCAAAGCCACAAGACCAGAAAACTCTGGACAAAATGGTAGAAGCCAGGGGCACCTGGGTGGCTCAGATGGTTGGGCATCTGCCTTCGGCTCGGGTCATGATCCCAGGGTCCTGGGATGGAGTCCCGCATCGGACTCCCTGCTCGGTGGGGAGCCTGCTTCTCCCTCTGCCTCTCTCTCTGTCTCTTACGAATAAATAAATAAAATCTTAAAAAAAATGTTAGGAAGCCAGTTGTTTTCAAAAATTGTTTGAAGAAGTAGGTATGATCAAATGCATAGGACTAACCAGGATAAAGAAAAGATAGTATTCTTCTGTCCCATAAGAGTCCAATTTAAAATGATGGCCCAAGGAATCTTGGAATAACTGTTATTTTCTAGAAATTGATGGTAAAATGATTAGTGACATAAATTATATGAAAGTTTATTTGTATGACCTAATTTTATTTAGCAAAACCTTGGAGGATCATGAACATAATCACTCTCCATCTGGGAGACACAGGCTTACAGTTACACCTTGACAAATACCAACCCTCCTGGGTCCTTAGTTTAAAAACATGTACGACATATAGAATTGCAGCAGTGATAAAAATATCTCTGCCATCACTGTCAGCCTAGGTCCATCAATGATAGAAAAGGAAAAGCCTTCTTCAAGTTCAAGGGTCTGAGTCAAAGTGATCAGATCAGAACCATGGCACTATTGTAGAAAGGTGGGCAAAAGTGACAGCCCAAGGAATTTCTAGAAGCCTACTTACTGCCCTAGTCCTCCTGGAAGAAGCACTGTGGGGAAAGATCTGTGAGCATGCATTCAAGGCTGTGGCCAACTTCTAAATCTGAGTACATCTTTTATTTTACACCCTCATACTACCTCTGAGGTTTAGGAGCTGTGTTTTGTCCAGATAATTCAAAGGAAAAGAAGTCCAAGGTTTCTGTCAACAAGTCTTTCCAAGACTGAAACTCAATACGCTCATCACAGATTAACCTTCCTGCTGCCAAAGTGCAAGTACAGCTGAGAGTCAGGAATATGTTGATGGAGTGCTTCTCTGGATGTGGAATGGTAATAGTCCCCTACTTATTACCAGGGTCAAACTAGATAGTACTGCAAGACGGCAGAACATACTTCAGGTAAAAGGTGAAAATCTGTTTTCATAAACACAAAGGGAAAGTAGAGTCCGAAAACTGCTTCAGGACTCAGCTAAGAATGTATGATGCCACAGTCAGGGAAGGGATTCTCTCCACTTCCCATTAGACTAGATGGACTGTTGCCTCATGGACACATGAAGGGCCTTAGCACAACAACGCTTGGGCATGAGAAGCAAGACGACCGCTGGAGACGATAGCACCGCCGCAGGGAAGTACCTGGCCAAGGCTTGCTGCTCACCTGCAGCCTAGGCAGCAGATCCAGACCCTTCCCAGACCCTCAGAAGCCAGATCCAAAGCAGAAGAAGAAAATGGCCTAAGGGGTTCTATAGGCTAAATGTTGTCCTCCCCAAATTCATACATTGAAACCCAATCCCCAATATGATGGAATTTGAGGGTGGGGCCTTTGGGAGGTGATTAGGTCACTTTAAAGGGTAGATCCTCATGAATGGGATTGGTGCCCCTATAAAAGAGACCCAGGGGCACCTGGGTGGCTCAGTCTGTTAAGCTTCTGACTCCTGATCTCAGCTCAGGTCTTGATCTCAGGGTTGTGAGTTCAAGCCCCACCTTGGGCTACACACTAGGTGTGGAGCCTACTTTAAAAAAAGAGAGAGGGAGAGACCCCAGAGTGCTCTCTTGTCCCTACTGCCATGTTAAAACACTGCAAAAAGACAACTATCTATGAACCAGAAATTGGGTTCTCACCAAACACCAAGTTGGGCAGCTCCTTGATCTTGGACTTCCAAGCCTCCAGAACTTTGAGAAACAAAATTTCTGTTTATAAGCCATCCAGTCTGTGGTAAGTTGTTACAGCAGGTCAAACAGACTAAGACAGGGGATATGGCTGCTGAGCTTGCTGGGTTCCCAAACACCTATGACATGTCCCAAGGACTCCATAAACAGATGTAACCTTCTTCCAAACAATGGAAATTCCGAAAGAGCAAGAGGGGTAAGTTTTAAAATGTTGTGCTGATGTGGCTTGCTAAATATAGGTTCCACAAATAAGACACTCTGTCTGTTTTCTTTCATTTTTCTTCAACTTGTGTGATTTTATGAATGATGTTTTTAGTTACAGTTAGATTCAAAAGAATTCTGTTTTGATTATGGTGCTTGTTATTTTACCTCTTATTGCCAAAACAAAGACAGAATACAAAACAATATGTGCACTGTTATTACAACTGTCTAAAAATATGCAAGTATAAGGGCAAAGACCAAAAGGTAAGATACAGAGAAAGAAAAAATTGCTTTTTAAAACTTAGAGACATGATAATAAAACCAAAATTTGTTGTCAATATATATATTTCTAGTTATAATAATTCTTAGTTACTGATATTTCAGAACAAGTTTTACTCAAAAATCTCTTATCAAAACAGTTTAGAAATAAATAAGATCACTTTTGCCATAAAAATGTCAGATTTGGCAATTAATTATATACTAATATTTCAGTGAGTCCTCCCCATTTTCTAAGTGTTGGATGCTAGCTTAAAATGTGTTAGGAAATAAGATATGCATCTGAGTGAAGAAGCAATGGTTCTTAAAGGAAAAGATGAGGCACCTGGCTGGCTCAGTCAGTAGAATGTGCAACTCTTGATTTCAAGGGTGTGAATTCAAGCCCCACATTGGGTGTAGAGATTACTTAAAAATGAAATATTTTAGGGGTGCCTGAGTGGTGCAGTTGGTTAAGCATCCAACTCATGGTTTCGGCTTAGGTCGTGATCCCAGGGTGGTAGGATCAAGCCCTGCATTGGCCTCCTCACTCAGCAGGTAGTCTGCTTGAGATTCTCTCTCTCTTCCTCTGCCCCTCCTGCGCTCACTCTCTCCCTTTCTCTAAAATAAACAAATCTTTTAAAAAATGAAATCTTTAAAAAATTTTTAATAAAGGAAAAAGAAGCCTCTCTCTTAGAATGTTATCAGCTTAATATTGATAGTTAGAAAAGTTCTCTCTAGAAATTGGTTTTAAAAATGTGACTCCAAGTCCATTGATTATTAAGTGAAAGGGCAAAGCTATAACTCTGGTCTCCTATCTCCTTGCCCAGCATCATTCCAAACCCCTTCACTGCTTTGAAACATAGCTAAACTCCCTGTTCTCGTGCTATCAGAGCAGGAACATCCTTATTTCAAAAGATGTATACATTCCTCATTGGACCGTGCCAAACTTGAAAGCCAAATAGTACACAGGAAGTTCTTGTGCCTTCAATAATGAGAGGCTTCTAGAAACAAAACATATCCATTCAGCTCTAGTAGACTAACTCCGATGGGAATGGATGGACAATTTTGGATATTAGCATATTTAGATGTATAGGAATTCTCCAGAGATGGTGAAATGGCAAAAGACTTTTCTAGGAAATACATCTGTTTATAACATTAGGAATCCAGGGCACTGACCTCATGAGAAGCACCTTATACCACTTCTCACTTTAGCAAAAGCAAGGCCCAAAGGTTAGGTCAACAAGTGGGACTCCAAGAAATTGTTTTACATCGATGCAAGGTCAAGGCCTGAAGACAGCAAGCAAGAGCTGGATGTTGCACTTGGAAGTGCAGTATGTAAGCCAGCAT